ACCTTTCGCCGCGCCCGCACAGAGCCGCCCCAAGGCCCTTCCTACCGCCTCACACAGTACCCAGAGTACTCCCTTCGCTCCCTCCACGAGTACAAGTCCCCAGCAGGTGTCGTCATCGCCACCTACAGCATCTACACCTTCGACGAACAACACTCGTGGCGCACCGCTAGCCCACCCTTCGTCAACAGTACCAGGGACTACATCGAGTTCATCTGTCGTGAAATCATCGGCGCATACCGTACCCCGCCCACCAACCGCGAAGCAGAAGAGCTCAAGGCCTTCCTCAACAACCAGCTCCTCTGCTACGCCGCGCACGTCGACGTCTTCACGAAGAAGTACTCGGGCTACTGGGCAAAGATCACCGGGTTCCGCGCAGAAGGACCTATCGACAACCGCATCCCACACTTCGACTTCCTCTCCGCGTACTTCACCAAGGAGTACAAGCACGATTACGACATCCCCATCGGCAAACTCTGCGTCTCACCCTTCCACTTCGCGTCCACTCCGCTCTACCTCGAGCACTTCCACATCCCGCGCCTCGCAGCTCGCACCAGGAAGCTCTACAAGAAGCTTGAGCCCGCGCCTGACTGGAACAAGGTCGACATCATCGAGATCGACGCACCAGGCGAAGAAGGTCAAGACAACACCGCTCCCTCGCCAGACCCGCTCCCCTTCCCCGCTCCTACCGCAGAGGACGGATACCCCGAGGGTTCCGACGCTTGAACTGCCGGAGAAACCTCGTGCTCAGAACATTCGTGATATTTGGAGTCGTCTTCTTTCTTCTGTTCCATCGGACGATTGACGTCCGCAGCTTTGTCATGAACTTAACCTTTTCTCTGAAGAAGAGAAGCGCGCTCTTGTTGGACAGTGTTTCGCTTGGGGTTCCCATATCATCTATAACTCTACGCAGTCTAACGCCGTTCCCCTACGCTACATCTATTGGGGAAAGGTTATCTCCTACGGACCGCACCATAACTCCTATCCTCGCCTCATTCCTGGTCTCTCTGTTGATCCTTGGTTCCACGTAACGTCACAAAACCCAAAAAACAGCTTCCCAGCCTCATTCCGCTCCCCTTTCTCGCTACGTCCTCGCACTCGTCACATTACAAAAACCCTTCTACAAACATAGTCTGGGCGCTTCATCGGCCGTGTAAAATCAACTTGTTGACTTCATATCTTGCTTGAATCTGCCGTTTTGGAGTCAGAATATCGCGATCAAGCGTCCGATCCAGACAGCGAGGAAATAGAACTTTGGCAACGTCATTTACCCACTCCCACATCACCCAACATGTCACAAACTGTAACCCAAACTTCAACGTATGCGGGAGCTGTATCCCAACATGATCCGAGACACCGAGGCGGAGGAGGAGGCGGAGGAGAAGGCGGAGGACCCTCCTATACAGAAAACCCACCAGAGCTCCCACCTTTGTCAGACCTTAAAGGCAAGGGACAGAGTGGTGGAAGAGGAGGCGGATATGATGGTAGTGACGAAGGAAGCAGCAACGGTGGAGGAGGAGGTGGAGGTGGAGGCGGAGGTGGAGGAGGCGGTGGACCGCCAGATGACTAC